AATCTGCTTAAAAATACATCCCACCACCTCCAGGGACCAAGTATGAGAAAGCTGTTTGTGAAGCAGTAGCGATGTCATTAATGGTATTGCTCCTTCTTAGCACTCTGTGCACACTTTTCGGGCAGAAGAAGACAGCTGTATATAATAATGTATATTTAGGAAGGTACCATCGCACATGGAAGAAAATATATTTTCAAAATATTCTTCCCAAATATATTGACAAATATTTGAAATACTACAATAAATGTTAAAATGACTTTTTTATATGTTAAAAAAAATATGAAGAATATATAAAAAAAAATATATATTTTATAAAAGTATTTTGCATATATTTTGTAATATATGTGTAAATTCATTCCAAAAATGTAGACTTGTATTTTTAAAGACATACAGTATATTTGAAAATGTATTTGTTTTAAATATGTTCATATATTTTGTAATAAAAACACATTTCAACATGCAAAATATATATATATATATATATATATATATATATATATATATATATATATATCGTTATTGAAATATATTTTGAAATATATTGAATATGACCAAAATTGTAGTATTTCAAATATATATCATTATATTTGGGAAGAGTATTTTTGTAATATATTTCAAATATATTTGTCTTCCATATGGGATGGTAGTGTATAAGCCTGAAGCTCATGTAGGGTACTGAATGATATATACGAGTAATGCTGTGTTTGTACATATACTGTGGGGATGATGTATATTCATATGGATACTGCTGGGGAAGAATGGATAATGTATGTAAATAGGCATGGGAGGAAAAGGAGATGTGAATACATATGGATGGTGGAGGGTGATGTATATACAAGATGTGGAAGGGAGATGCCTATAACGGATTAGTGAGATGTATATACTTGGTAATGTACATTAGCTATAAGCAATATATCTGTTGTTTTGCTAATTTTCATAAATCATGTGTCATTCTTATTTCTCGTAAGGGAAAAATACTCAGTTTTAAACTTTCCAGTTCTACTTTGAATCTGATCAATGGCTTTGTGTCAGTATGTAGAACATAAGACCTGTTGCGAATATTTTTACCTGGCTTCACAGTATGGTACCCATTTTTCTCACTGCTGACATCAACAGGGTTCTGTACCATAGATGGATATCTCATCGGAATAAGAAGTTTGTCATGTGAATGCAATGGGGTTGATTTACTAAAACGGGAGAGTGCAAAATCTGGTGCAGCTGTGCATGGTAGCCAATCAGCTTATAACTTCAGCTTGTTCCATTAAGCTGATTGGATTCTGCACACTCCAGTTTTAATAAATCAACCCCAATGTCTACAGCATGCAAATGATAACCTGGTATGCAGCTGTTTAAATATGGGTCTTAAAGCCACACCCATATATCACTGGGGTGCACTTCATGTTGCATTAGTTGTGCTACCCTAAAGTGTCACAAGTCTTTTTGAATCTTAAAAATGTATCCTGATATTTGGCAACTGACAGCAAAACCTAAATTCTGTAGCTGGAGCACTTGATAGAGAAGAGCTCAATTATTCAGTGTGCTCATAATCAATTTTGGTTATAAAAGATTTACATACATAAAATGAACTAAACAGAACAAAGGTTTACAGAAAACGAAGTCAAAACTGTCATTCAGGCATCATTTAGGGATTTTTTGAGGTGCTCTCACCGCATACAATATCTGATGTAAAAAAATAATTTTGAATAATTTCATTTCTAATAATATAAGCACATTTGTAAGCACTAGATCAAGCCCAGCAGATCTTATCTCATTTTAGTTTCATGATGCGATGTGTTTACTACTTTTATACAACATGCAAAACAATTTTAAATGAATATAGAACATAGCTTGGCAATAATCATACTGATTCATATTTGACACCAACTGTCAGCTGGGAACATGGCCAGTTTGCTCATCTCAAGTACGATATTAGCCAAATTAAAATGCCATAGGTTTAAAACTAAAGCTGAGATGTGTATATAGCTGGCAAGTAAATTTAATTCAAATAAGATTCTGAACAATGTTTAAATTGTAAATTGATCCCTGATTCCCTTTCTTTTACTTTCAGCAAAAGTCAGTTTTACACTACTGCACAGTTAAGGTGCCAGTACACACGATGATTATCTATTTGATTTACGTATAAACAGACAGTAATGCTCCTGCACTATTTTAAAAATGCAGAACACCACAACACACAGAGTATTCACATCTGTACACTATAATATGCAATAAAGCAGGCGTTTTGTGAGTTGCTGTATATGTGCTTTTGGGTGCCAATCAAAATAAATGACAGCGCACCAAAATGCACATCCATAAATGGAGCCTAATGCAGGCCATACATGGCTCGAATTTCGAATGATATTTTGTCCGAAAATTGAAAACGTTGTTCGCTCGGTAATCCAATGGTGCCATCATTGATTTCGAAAATTGGCTGACCAAGTCATAAAGTTCACCCCATATAACAGGTGAAATTTCTGTTCCTTCCAGGTCATGGCTCATGCGCATATTCTTTTTGGAAAAATGATTGTACGATTTGACCATCACTGAGTCGAAAATCGATCGTTTTTCACAAAAAAGGGGAGGAACCATGAAAATCGGCCGGTGCCATTGACGCACTAACAGAGCGAAAATCGGCCAGTTATTCTTAGGTCCAATTTTCCGATGCAAAAATTGGTCGAATGTCAACCCATGTATGGCCGGCATAAAAGTCCAAATCTATCAGATCAGGTTATATGGCTACATTTTAATAAAGTCTTAGACTACACAACCTTGATGCCAACTAATATAACCTATATGTCTAACTCTTATGTAGAAATTTACGTTGTATAACAAAATAGAAATGATCAGCTTATGCTAGCCAAATACATAAATGGAGGAAGAATGAAAGGAGGACAAGAGTTTTTAACATGGATACAAAAGGCAGATACAGACAGAGAATCTGTTATCCAAGAACCCCACAAAATAATAAAGTGAACTGATCTTATTAAAGTCTAACCCCCACCCCCTAAATTTTCTGTGGTGCCTTGGGAACAATAAAAACACTACAGTACAATGCTCCAACTTATGGAAACATTACAGATAAGAGCTCCCATACCTGTATGATATGAAGATAGAAGAAAATACAGTAAAATGTTGAGAAGCATAGATTATTAAGGAAGAGGCTATATACAGTGAAATACGAGGGATCTTCAAAATGTTTCTGCACTTTTATACATGTTAAAAAAAGTGTGGAAGCTTTTTGAAGAACCCTCACATATGAAAACTCTCTTTTGTTAATACAAAAGTACAATATGCTAAAAGTAATTATTTAAAAAAAATGTGTTTTCAAAGGCTGAATATATTTCCATGTGTGCATTTTCCTTGTGCTATGTGAGCTTTTACCACTATGTAAAGATTATTCACTATAGGGAACATAGAGTGATTTTGTATTTACTTTCTTTCCTTCTTTATTATTATCCAGACTCAAGAAATGTAACTTTATTTTTTTTTTTGCAGTCAGGTAAGAATGAGATATTACACAATAGCCTTTTTTGAGCCAGCAAGTCAAAAGCTCCACCCTAGGAGCTTTTTATTTATTTTCCAGAAGCTCATTAACACCCGATTTAAAAAACTATATACAAAGATCAATAAATGAAGCTACAATGTATATACATAGCTAAGTAAGTCATAAACCATTTGCTACTGCTGTGCTGTCGCTTTAGATAACCCAGGGAGCTCTGGATTTTCTTTGCCATGTATTTCATGTATCTGTAAACACACAGGTGATCACATTTGTAGGGTTTAATCTGAAGCTTGCAAATCTCTGGTTTGCACAATGGATTAATATTAGCCAAATATACAAGGAATGTTGTATACACTAATCAGACAGATTTGCATATTTTCTATATGAAGACATGCCCTAGGCTTGCCCACGTAAAGTGGACTCATAAAGGAGTATTTGAGACTCTGCAAGTCAGGGTTCTCTGCCCTCACTCTCTAACCTCTGCTCTTAGCATGAATAAACCACAGTGGCATTTTCTGGGCAAGATTCCTGTGTTCTCACTCAGGGAGAAAATCAATAGGAATTCCCTGTTTAAATAGTTACAGTGCATTAAGGGTGATATTCTCTATACAATCCTCTATTACACAGTTTAATTTAATTTAAATTCCTTTATTGTAACTCTTTTCAGAGATGTAAAGCTGAGATCACAGCAAGGGAAGCTCACCCCATGACTACCACTTAATTAGCCATTTAAACAGGGACCTTCTTCTAGTTATTTCACTCTTTGACTGGAGGTCAGAGAGTGGAGTGACAGTAGAACTTTCAATAATTCCCACTCAATCATTAATTTTAGTAAGGTTCAGGTTAATAAAAGGTTAATACAAGGTCAGGAACCCCAGGACTTTGCGGATGCTGTAGTCATCTGATGACCAATTTACATTTAACTCCCAAGAAAAGGTGGTAGGTAACATTTTTAAAACAATAAATAGTTTGTGGTGTGGTGGATAGAGGATAGGAAAGACTACCAACAAAATTGCTGTATGAATATTTCAATACTATTGGTGGCAAAAATGGTTCATGTGTCATTACCATTACATTGTCCTTTAAATATCCAGCAGATTCAGATTTGTGTGGTTTTATTTCACTCATTTTTTTCTTTCTGTAATTTTTGTATTGATATTATTTATATACAGCTGCCCAGTAAATAATGTATGGGTACTCAGTTCAATGTTCCAAACATCACCTAAGCAATTAGTAAAATAAACTAGGTTTAACGAAACATCATATCAGTTTAGTAAAAGTGCAAGCAAGTTCTATAGGGATTTGAATCTATTCTAATTTTAATCATTGTATGGTATTCATTATGCACATACTGAACATCTAACCCACAATTGCGTTATAGCTGTATGATCCCTTCCAAAGCATAAGGAAATTGGTTAGGAATTGAAGGAAAAAAAAGAAGGTTTTAAAGCTTTTAGGCTCTAATATCTGCAGGCTAAAAGGAATGATTGGTCCATACCCATAAATTCAATTCCAAGATGCTCTGCCAATGCAGAAAGTTGACAAAAAGAAAGAAAAGGGAAAAAGTTTCAGAAAAGAGCAATACACTGTACTCCAAAACAAATTATACATGAATACCATGGCTACTCTATGTCTGCACATTGAAACAAGACATGTGATGCATGGTAAATGGTCAATTTAAGTGTCCATGTCCAAATTTAAAGTGTAATCACAGACATCGTATATCAATATGAACAGAGGAAGAAATCTGAATGTATACATTTTAACTTTCTTAAATATATGCAGTATTGTATGATTAAACATTTGAAATTATTCTAAGCTATGACAATGTATAACTAGCATAATTACCATCATTTATATATTTGCTAGTATTCTATATCAATTAATAGAACTATAGTGTTGGTTAACTTTTATACCTAGTACTGTTTATAATTGCATTATACACCATTAATGTAAACTAGAACTAAATTACACATGAACGATTAATCAATCAGCTTTATTATGCAAAATAATCATCCTATCTATAATAACTATAAATTAAAATTAAAATAAACCATATGGTATTACAAAGGCATATGTATCATGACCATAACAACACATATAATAAGATTTTTTGTAACTATAGCTAACATCCAATGGAATATGGCTGAGATACATAAACATGTACTGCAACTAATAAAATTGAAGCCAAATGTAACAACAACAAATAAAAAAGTATATAAAATGACTGATGACTTAGAACTGTTGGACTTCAATCAGTAACACTTCAAGGGAATACAGTGATTCAAATAGCATCCATCCAGATTTCTTCCAAAGACAGCCATTTATAAGAGGTTACACTGACGTTGCTAATTAGACATTAGTTGCACAAAAGCTCGGTTAGTGGCATGCCCATGCATACATATTATTGCATTTATTTAATTTTTAGGCAGGAAGTTAAGCCTGTTAGGTTAATTTTCAGAAGAAGTTATTATGCAGTTTCCATCTGAAATTAATCAATCTGAGATTGATCTACATAAGTAGAGTGTGATTTGGCTGTGTGGCTTAACAAGATAACATGCTGAGAGAACATGCATTCTTTCTTTAAAATTTACACTAGGGAACATTTAATTATTCACCACTACACTTTTCTTTTTTGATCATGGCACAGAGCTTAGCAAAGCATTTGCTTAAAACATAGTGAGAAACAAATATCTGCACTGTCTCTAGTAAGCAAAAGACTTTTCTTCATTTTCAAAAATGGCTTCAATGTGATTGGGCTATACAAACATTTCCTTCCTGCAAAAAGATCTTGTTAAGCTTTATTTACCCTAATTATTGGTAGTAATTATATTGTTGCTTAACTTATTTAGGCAAAAGGATGCTACACTTATTTAACATGATTGCAAATGTAAATATTAATATATTGTTAATTATTATTGTATATTAAGATTAAACAAATTATAATTGTTCATTATATATTTGATTTAAAATGAGTTCAGCTTCACTAACTCTCTCTTTTTCCTAGACAGGCATTAATCTGTGCATGCCTCATCAGTTAGCTAGTAAATGCATTGTTGATGTATGTTTTGTAAATGTCAATATTTCTGAAATTTAAAATAAATACTCAGGGAAATGCTAAAGTTATGTAACAGATATTTGGTCCTAAGAATGATTTTATTACTCTAGAATTATTTTTTTTTTCTATTATGTACAAATGATAAAATACATCACAAGTGAGGGATATAGGTGAGCGTCAAACTATGTCAGTCTCATTGATCTTCTGTTTAGGTTACAGAGTTGAACACCAAGGGCCAGATGGTGACAGATAATTAGTTGGGAATGTAACTGCTAACAAAGCTAAGCTAATATTATTGATCATCAAATTATATAAATATTATAATGCTGATTTTCAATTAGGATTTAGGTGTAGATTTCGGTTTTTAAATATATTTCTAAATATGCTTAAACAGATTTTCTTTTTCTGGAAAGGAAACATATTGCGCTCAACTATTTAAAATGCTTTAGAAATTACATTACAGGGTGGTATTTTACTGTATGTCCACATAGCTAAACAAGTAAAAATGTAAACTTATGGGACTGTTTAATAAAATGTTTGGCTTTTTTCATCAGTTGTTGCTCTTTTGCAGGGCTACAGTGGCTGAAGGACAAGATTATACTTCCCGATTTGTGTTTGGTGCCTGATTAGCACCAAACACACTTGAAAATCAGTGGTGTGACAGGTAAGAATTAACCTTTTTCTTTTAACGTAGTGACAGAATCACTTTACGAATATTAGATCATGTGGAAATGCCCATGAAATTAAGATCAATTCACAAAGTGTTAACACAAAGATGAAGCTCTCTATTTCAGTCATGTGACTGTAGCTTTTATATCTCATTAGACTGGAATTGTCCAAAAACTGTTCCTTTTTTCAAAATACGTATACTTCTCCTGGTGTGTTAGCTTTGTGAATTGAGCCTATTGGCTGTGTATGACAGTGCTTGTCAGGTTATTATAGTGAAGTGGAAAAAAGAGAAGAGAGAAAGAAAAAAAACACACAAGTTGTGCATTTTTCTTTGCTGTTAATCATGCTGCATGCAGAAGCGCAAAAATCAGACACTAGATTCTGCCCACAATGAACTGTTAAAATAATAGAATAAGCGACTACTCCTCTTATCTAGTCACATCAAGCTGAAACATGATGTAGTAGAAGTAGGGGTCTGTTACAAACTCTAAGGATGAGCGTGCTAGGGTATGTCCAGTTTGGGCTAGGTTGAACTTTTTTTTGCAGATGTGCCAGCATTTAAGAAAGAAAGGAGCTAAGAAGTGATGTTAGGACATCTTCATCACCTACAGCAGTGTTGCATGATACATGGGAACGTCTGTGGTAATGCTGCTGTCTTAAAGGGCAAACATTATTGGTAGTGATGTGTCTTCAGAAGACTGAATCTACTCAGAAGTAATTAAGTGAATCTTAAAGTAATGATGTATTTGTGATTAGTTTGGAAGTCATGACGTATGTACAAACAGAGCTTAAATTGAGAATTATTTACATGTACTTTGGAAGCTGCAATATATCTAGGAACAGTGCTGAAACTAGTACAGTACAAGTGCCGGAGGAAGATTTGCCTACAAGTGCAGTTAACATGATGCAGTAAGATAAGGAAAGAACTATTAGTTATAGGAGTTTAGCTACTGTAGTTATTAATGTAATTTTTTTTTACTGTAATTTTTTTAATGATAGAAATAAGAATTGAATTTTGACTGTTTTCCTTAATTTATTCAGCCATGTATAATGAAAAAAGAAAACAAATATAAGTTAGTATTTCTACATGTGGAATCCTGCATCTTATGGTTTTCTTACCTTTGTCAAAGCTACAATCTCTTATAATGATCTGTGCTAACATTACATGCATGCCCATCCACACTGGTGCATCAAAAGGATATCAAGATAACAATAATAATAATATCCATTATTATTATTTTTGTCATGCTACAGGCAGAGCAAACAGTACTGAGCCTAATAGAGAATAACAAATCAAGTACTAGGTGAGATCTGAAGAGAGATTCAGCAACGAGAAAGCAGCACCGATTGAACATGCTCCTATTCAGGCAGAGACAGAAAGGAAGTGGACGTACTGTAGAAGCTGGCCATTACGTAGTTTTGGCAGCGATCACCAGTAAATTCATTTGGACACCTGAGAGGAAAGACAAAAAAAGGTAGAGAAAACAGAGAAAAGAAAAGAGTTGAATATATGCCAGAAAGAAGATCCTTAAGTGTAAACTGATTGTTCTTGGAATGCCACCATCAAAGAGTGTGTCTCAGTTTTTGTACTGGCATGACTTGTAGATTATTTTTTTTTTTTTTCACTTACTTCTGAGATCATTTGGAACATGTATATAACGCAAGCATGGATTAAGAATTATATTACACAATGATTGACTGATTTGATTGAATGGTTGATTGAACAAGTCATGTGTGCTACAAAAAAGAAAATCATCTCTGATCAGTGACATCACGAAGCATAAGAGCTAATCATTTTTTTTATTTGTTGCTGCATTTGGGGGATAAAAAAGTCAAATATCAGAGTACTGGGACATACTTTCTGCTCTTATGACTCTCAGAGGATCAGTCGCAGTACATCGTGCTCCCATGAATCCTGGTTTGCACCTAAAGGGTAAAAATGTGATGAGCAAAATAAAATAAAAAAATAAAGGTATCCACCTGAACTTGTATTCCTGTAGGACATGTGAGAGAAACATTCATACTGTCAGCATATCATAGTGATCTCCCGTGCAATCTATAGCTCCAGCTTCAACACAGTTCACGAAGATCATACATCATATACAGTGACAAGATTCAGATAAACATTATGCTTAGTACCAGCACTGTATATGGTACATATTAGTTCATTCCAAGCAGCCACAACACTCATAGTCCTTGATTTACTTAATGAGAACAATGTTCACTTAGCTAAGGCAGGATGTGAGGATGTTAGCACACCAATCATCCAATCACTTGCAAATTAAGATTCTTTTTCTTTTTATTTCTTGGGTACATGACTAGGTATTTGAAGTGCACACTATTCTACTGAGCTAAGTAAAAAAGCCACAAATTTAGGAAATCACCCATCCAGGGCCACAAAAGAAGTAGGTTTTACATTTTATCCAAAATCAAACAGGGTAGCGTGACCTCTTGATATGTAAGGATGTTTTCACAAAAACTAAACTGCTCTAAATCATACCATTCTAAACACTATGTAAGCTCCAACACAGAAGCTGAATGTGATTTCACAACGTACTCACAGACAATCATGGTTGACCTTGGGCAATACAGAAAAATTGCTTTCAAATCCTACAAAACCCAACCAAGACAGGTTTTTCTTGTTATTTTGGATAGAGTATGGAATGACTGAAACCATTGTTGGATTTTTGTTTTGACCTCTGTGTCCCACTGGAGAAATTTATCTTCACTCCCTGGCCTGCAGACACAACAGAAAAGGAAAGGACTTCTCTCTAAAGTGAGGGAACTCTCCTCTAAAACGTCATCAGAACAGGCGTTCCCATACCTGTTCTGGTGACAAATGAATTTTTCTCGCTTTTCTTCACTTTCAGTCCTGATGACAGTGGACTCCAGTACAAATAGACTAAATCTCAATGGGACACATGAATTCTAATCCTTCCCTATTATATCCAAACAAAAATGTTTCAGCTTTAAATACACGTTAAATATAATGGTGAAATAAAATCCAAGTGAAGTGAAATTTATTTTTGTTCCCATTTCAGCATTTGTTATTCAGGGTCAGTTATTTTCTTAAAACTGCACAAGAAATATGACAATGAGATAAAAACAAAATGTCAAGATATTCTTCCCTCTAAGTAAAGTGCATTTATAAAATATGACTAATGTAGTGTGGTATTGGAATACACTGAATACATGTTATTATCACTTGCATTAACACTTTTGCAGGGTGTTCTAGCTGAAATTCAAAAAATATCACTGCAAACACTGTGAAGGTGAATTGTTTATAAAGATGCGAAAATGGTTGTGCTCTATTCTATGCTCTGGTAATAGCTCCAATCTACTCTGAATGTCGAAGAGTCCACCTTTCTCATATACTGTAAGAACATAATGTAATGTAATTGGAAAAAGTAAAGTCAAGGTTATAATATTGGGAAGCTTCCAGAATACAAGTCTGTAGTGTTATGTTTGTTTGCTTCTGATTTTTACTGTCAGCCAAACTGACTGCATCACTTGATATTACCTTTTTTACAATCAATGCATTTCGTTATTGAATATCATGCAGACTAATGTATTTAAAGCTTTACCAGTATTACATGTTTGACTGCACTGTGCATCAAATAACGTGCAGGGATGTAATAACAGTGTGTTTGCAATGCTGTAATGTGATACAAGTGCAATATTCCATAGCTGTAATATGATAAAAATCTTAAACTCTATAACAGTTAATCAAATTTTAGTTTAACAAAGTCAGATCAGTGAAAGCTAAATTCTGAATGGATGCTTCTGCTGCTTGGATACACTTTTATGCCTTTGTGCCTCATTTTTATACCATAATGTTTGGATCAGCTCCATTTTTTTGTGTGATAGAGGTGCGGTATAATAAAAGAGACCCATTCAGGGAAAGTGACAGCGCTTTATCAAAGGCCCCCTTCCCCCCGAACCCGTTGATATTAATTTTGCCAGTGGTCCTCTACTGCACCTTCTTCTGTAGCAGACGGTAACAAAATCCCAATGTTGGTTGGTGTCAGAGGCTGAATCGAGAGGTGACATGACTTCCTCTCTCAGTGTTTGGGCTTACTGATTGGGATATGTCTGATTGTGATTGTGATACTGATTGTGGGATGTCTCTGGTGAAAGAGCACTGGAAAGGTGAGTATCAGTGTCAAGGGGGGTTGGCTTTGCAAAGATACTGTCATTTTGCCCTGAATGAGCAAAGTGATAGTGCCGCTATGAAAATAACATTTATATTAAAAATAATAATAACAATAAAAAGTATAAAGACCTCTCACAAAATATTAATTCCTGAAAATGTTCTAATACCAAATCTAATATACAATGTACAGTGTATGTGGATTGTATATGCATGGAAAACATTTCTAGTATGCAAATGTGATACTAAACCCACTATATAAAAGGACAACTGCATATTGAACAACAAAAAGAAAATACTGAATACTGAACAACAGACTTGTTCAATCTATACAAAGATAATAGCCAAAGCCATGAAGTAATGTGTTTATGATATATTCTTAACAAATTACCTAACGTACTTAAATGTCTAAAAGTACAACTATAACAACTATTATGCTGAGAGGTAATCCAAGCCGTTAGCATTTCATGATCTTTTTGCCATGGTATTTCTGATTATACATAGTGAGCACAATACATTATATGATATTATGATTAGCTGTGATGTCATAAAATGCTGTGGAAACCATAGTTACTATTAAAGAATATACATTCACCTAAATGTCTTGCCAATGGCTTAGTTTAGGTTTCACAAACACAAGTCTTATGGCTGGATACTACTTTGAATAGCAACCCCTTCACAGGACAAAGTCTTATAAGTGAAGATATCTTACTTGCACATGTATTTTGTCGTGCCACTGCTTGTGATTCCCTTGATCACGTAGCATTCGCCTCCATTGACACAATATGTCTTCTCTTTTTCTGAACATTTGGATAAGTGACTTGCTGTTGCTGTAAAGAAAAATAAGAAAATGTTTAATGTAAACTAGTTTAATGTTACATCTAACAGTATAGATTTTATACAATACACTAATACATATATACACAATATGAAATTCAGTCACAAAAAATAACTAGTATTATGACAGATGAAAACGTGATACTAGAAAACAGTATGTCTAATTTAAATTGATCATACTGGCACATGTCCTATAATCTATAGTGGACAATATGGGGTTGATTTACTAAAGGCAATTAGACTGTGCACTTTGCAAAGCACAACTGCACTCTGCAAGAGCAGTTGCTCCAGAGCTTAGTAAATGAGGTAAAGCTTCCCTTTGCCAAGAATGCCTAATCACATACAAGGAAAATAAAAAAACAGCATTTTTTCTTGCACATGATTGGTTGATGGAAGTCAGCAGAGCTTCTGCTCTTTAATTAAACTCTGGATCAACTGCACTTGCAGAGTGCAAGGGCACTTTGCAAGTGCACAGTCTAATTGCCTTTAGTAAATCAACCCCTATGTTGTAAGATGTCACTTTGGGTGAATACTAAAATGCAACGTTTGATACTCTCAAATTATCAAATGCACTATGGTCTCTGTTTTTGACACAGAGAATAGCTGCGATTCAGAGGATTGCAGCTACTCTCTGGTCATAAACAGCTTATGATACTCAGGAGATCAGCGAGGAGCAATGTCAGCCCTTCTGTGTTCTCCCTCCAGATTCTCCAGCCCAGAGCTGGAGAATTGGAGGAACCGCTAACTAAGCAGCGATAATTTACCTCTGCTTAGTAAACTGATCTCTTACTGTAATCTCGTGAGATTATAGTAAAAGCAGCTGTTTTCCAGCGTTTGTAGACCGTTTTCCAGCGTTTGTAGATCATTCTCCCTTCGTTCGGAGAACTGATCTACACTGCTTCATAAAAGGCATTCACAGGAGAACTGTGTTCTCCGAGAATGCTGGAGAACTGAGCAGCGATCATTTACCGCTGGTTCATAAACGGACACCTATATTAGAGAGCTGGAATCCACCCACCCCCCACCATAACTTCAAACAGCCTACACAGGAAGTAGTAGAAATAATATTGAATATATACTATATGTAACAGCGAATACAAACATCTGAACTAAAATTTGCACAATAAATACAATACGCTTTAATTACCAAATATGGTAATAGTTGTCATGGATTTTTATTATTATTTTGATAATAATTGATGTTCACATTCATCAAAAGTCCTAGTTCACAGCTGTAATATAGTATTCCTAATTCTGGTTTGCGTAAAATCTTTTTGATGATATTTTTGTTGTTTAGAATTAGAGACAAGTTCCAAGTATGTAATGCCAAACAAATGTAAACAATCTGAGTCACATGTAAACTGGTTTAATAGGACCCAGGCTAGTTGGACTTCCGATATCACAAGAGCTTAGCCTTGACTATTATTGCCCTTTTGAAAAAAAAAAAAAAAGCAGCAACTATTTTCAAAGCAGTGATTATTGGAGTCCCTAGCTAGAGCTAGAAAGTGAGCTATGATGGACTACAGCTGCCCTCAATTGCCATGGATGAGAACACATTGTGGTTGTCACACAAAACTGTGATATCCATATAACATGCGGAATGTTCCTCTGCTTTGACCTGACACATGTTTATACTGTCAAACAGCATTTGATAAGAAAGTAATGGAATGTTATCTTTTAGATCTTACATTTTGACAATCCCCAAGCAGAAAAGTAGAAATCCCATCCGCTGTGTTAACTATGGAGTCTCTTACATCAGAACCCCAGTGATCAATTTGTATTGGCATAATATAACTCAGAGAAGCAAATGTTAGATAAATATATGATACGTTATTATAGAAATAATTTATTGGTAAATATAGACATTTAACTAGGTGTAATAAATTGTCAGTTTTGTAACAGATGTGTGTGCATTCTTTTCTACCAGAATGCAGGACATGCCATGTTCTCCTGAACCTATTTTAAAAAACCCCCATGCAAATTCCAGGACCAAAAAGGACAAAGACGGCTGATCATAATTTGTTTTTCATAATATAAAAAAACAAACTATTCACAGATTGCTTCTTTATAAATATCATGTTAGAGCTAAGGTTGGAATTAAAAGGCAGTGGTATTATAACCACAGTACTTAAAAAAGTACACCTTTAACCACTGCAGAAATATACTTGTTTAAATTGTTAAAGGAAGTCAAATAACTCGTGATGTGTTGGCATAGGATGGAAAGATGTTTTATTTTATTTAACAAGTTGTGGACACCAAGCAGACTATATTCCCAAAAAACATTTAATGAAGTACGCAGGGTGTGTATAGTATATATACTATATACAGGTATAGTATTCTCTGTCCATCTGCCATTTCCTTTGCCCTTTGGCTATTCCCAGCTGTCAAAGTGACCGCTGTGAGTTGCTGTGTAAATGCAGCATCTTTAATAGCTGCTGCTGTAAAAAATGGACTTTATAACACAGTGTTTATAAACACTGTCCAGACGCAAGAGAGAGAGTTACAAAGTAACATGATTAGTTTTGCGTCTACTCTGTTTCATCCATTTGCAGATAGGTGGGTCAAGCTATGATCTACATATGATGTCAGTTAAAGCAACCTGACAAGTTACAAAAATGTTTTTCTTTTTTAAATACAATTTGTTCCTGTATAATCCCTTACTAACCCTTAGTTATGTTATTTCAAACTTTATGTCTGTCATAAATAATTTGGTTTGTATTAAAATTATAATTTTAGTGTAATTTTAAGTGGGACAAATCATAAAATAAGGTTTATACTTTTTTTTCAACAACAAAAACACATTTTTTTTAAGCCAACATGATCAAAATGGTAGAAAGAGGGTATTTTTCAGGGTTTTTTTTTATGGATTTCTTAAAAAATCATATTTTTTATTTTTAATTTAAAGTTCATTAGTTGATTTTCCTTTACAATGTTTATGATGTCTACACAGTACATGTCCAAGGACAACAGACAATACAAAGGAGGACAAAGGAAAGGGTCTCTGCTTAAATATTTTGTTTTATCATACTGCAAAGGAATTTAGCCCATATTAAAATACAACTAAAGACTCCAGAATGACAATCTAAACAAGTACCAAAGCAAGTTACTATATGATTCACAAGACCCAAGAAGTAAACAAATAAATTTCCTTTACCTTCTCTGACTCAGCCAAACCTTATTTGTATCTCACACTTTCTCCCTTCCAAATTTCTGGGACAGCTGTCAATCCAGAAATCAGTGGGCAGGACTAGGTGTGGCCAGCTGCTGACTGACCAGCTACAGGCTTGTCAACCAGCAGTGACAATGCAAACAATTTTTTATACCACTTTAGTACCTACTAAGAGTGTCAACACTGCTCTGAATTCAAGAACAGTGCAGCATCATTGCCACACCATCAAAGGGTACTACATTAGGTGGTAATCACTGGCAGGATCAACAGGTATTTGTGGAACTTTGCTTGGGGACTAAGGGAAAACAGTAAGTGCAGATGCACTTATAATTAAGTATTACAACACATGTTTTTTTAATTGAAAGCCATAGTTCTACTTTAAATTTTCCTATGTATTAACATACATTATTACAAACATAAAACTCTATAAGATCATAAATTAAATAAATAAAAAATATTTTGTACATTAACGAAGTGGAAATTTCTATATATAAAGCAAAACCAAAAGATTAAGTTGCTGGGTAAGGAAAAAGTATTACGGCTATGTAGTGTATATGGTGAATGACATCCAATTTACTTTATTCAAATAAGTTCCCAACAAAACTGGTGCCCATAAGAGCAGCTGTGATCAAGTATTTTGCCGGATACCCTATGTGACTTCACAAAGACAAATTAAATCGGCTCAGGGAACAGGACACTTTCGTTCCATGGCAATTTTCAACAAACGGCCATGACTAATTATGATGTGGAAAAACATAACTGATCCATGAAAAATGTTCTAATTCTCAAATCTCCGATGACAACATAATGCTGTTTTCTCTAATTCAAAACATGCTAGCAACTAAAAAAAATTTAGCATAAAAAGTGCTGCCACACAAAGTTGGTGAATATAGAAGCACAGTTGGCTAGAGCACACTTTTCATAAATAATGACATGTTGCTACCATAAGCATTAGAAAACATGCAGTTATTGAGAACAGCATCTAGAAATGAATCCTATTCTTGATCCTTTTCACTGTCATGTTAAATAATCTATGAAATCACAATGACTGGGACCTTGACCACAACATACTATACTGTGGCCTATGAGAGGTAACTCAACTAAACCTTAGATTGTACTCCCCTTGAGGGTTAGGGACTGATGTGAATGTACAATATATATGTGTAAAGCACTGTGTAAATTGACGTCGCTATCTAAGTACCTGATATAAATAAATAAATAAGCTAGGCATGGGAAAATCATGGCAATTCCATGCAAATAAGGTCCTGCAACTAGAATTAATTGAACAAAAATAAAGGAAAGTAAAAGAAATGTGAATACAAGACCACAACCATGGTACGTCCTTGGTTGACTGTCAATTAATCTGAAAACGTTGTGCTATAAGGATAGCCATAAATGCCAATTCAATGCCCGATACACTGTTTCAGTGGCCATTGTTCTTTACCCCTGAAGTAAAGCGGACCATAACTGTATAGTTACTCCCCCTCCCTCTCCTACCTTATTGTTTTCTAAAGGACTATATATAACACATCTACTCTTCTTTCCTAGATGAGACTTTGTCACCGCCTCTGGCCATAGGTCTCAGATCCTGAGTAAGCACTGCGGCACGTGCATGGGTTTTGCCACACACACACTCAAAAACCACTAATAAGAGAAGCTGAATACTATCCCTCTCTTTACACATGTGCAGCATTTCCTTGGCAAGCACACACATGTGCTGATGGGCTCTGCCAGGACCCAATGGTCAGGCAGAACCAGTGCAGGCATCATAATGGCAGCGCCTGGGGGAGCAGAGACACTTAAGGAGGTGGCCGGAAGATCCACTTTTAGTTTGCTAACGCACTACGTATTACAAATACTTGACTTTTTTTTAACCAAAATAGTTATGTTTATTTAATC